CTGGGGGTCCTAGTGGACGACAGGATGACCATGAGCCAACACTGTGCCCTTGTGGCTAAGAAGGCCAATGGCATTCTGGGGTGTATTAGAAGGGCGGTGGTTAGTAGGTCGAGAGAGGTCCTCCTTCCCCTCTACTCTGCCCTGGTGAGACCGCATCTGGAGTATTGTGTCCAGTTCTGGGCCCCTCAGTTCAAGAAGGACAGGGAGCTGCTGGAGAGAGTCCAGCGCAGGGCAACTAAGATGATTAAGGGAGTGGAGCATCTCCCTTATGAGGAAAGACTGAGGGAGCTGGGTCTCTATAGTTTGGAGAAGAGGAGACTGAGGGGTGACCTTATCAGTGTCTATAAATATATAAAGGGGGAGTGTCACGAGGACGGAGCCAGGCTCTACTCAGTGGCAAACAATGATAGGACAAGGGGTAATGGGTACAAACTGGAACACAAGAGGTTCCACTTAAACTTGAGAAGAAACTTCTTCTCAGTGAGGGTGACGGAACACTGGAACAGGCTGCCCAGGGAGGTTGTGGAGTCTCCTTCCCTGGAGACATTCAAAACCCGCCTGGACGCATTCCTGTGTAACATTATCTAGGTGTTCCTGCTCCAGCAGGGGGATTGGACTAGATGATCTTTCGAGGTCCCTTCCAATCTCTAACATACTGTGTGTGTGTGATACCTATAAGTCAGCTAAGGTATTGTCCTGACCAAATAATTCAAAGTGCTTTGGCAGAAATTCACAATCTATTTTTACATGTAATCAGGATCTTCAGTCACAAATAAGAGCTTTAAAACCCGCTTCCTTTCACCTCACTCCTGAAAGGTTTACACAACAGATGTGAAACCCTGGAGAGCAGCAAAGCAGAAACCTGCCGGTCCCACCTGAATGTTCAGGTCTTGTCTAGCGAGGCGATGTGCTAGACCTGCAGCCCTGGGAGAACAAGCCCAACCAGCACACAACAAGGATACATCTTTGTCTTTCAAAAGAATATTTTAAGTTATAGTATTTGTTATTTAATATCTTAGGTAAACAACAAAAAAAAAAGCAACTTTTTAATGGGGTTTCATTTTGGTAACAGACTGCTTTGCAATGGTCAGACCACAATATGAGCAACCCCAAGAAAATCTCTACTAGGCATAGCAATTTATATTAAGCACTCATTTTTTTATTTGTTGCTTGAAGGAATTTGAACATTTCTGAAGATACCAATCACTTATGGTCATTATACCAGTGCTGCACACAGGGAGCAGGGATTACAGAGGGGAGCCAGAGTCATGCACCTGCTGCATACATACACACACATCTGCGCAGCTCAGCCAAACAGCACACAACTATGAGGTCACCCCCTTTGTAGAATAAGCATGTTTTAAAACCAGGAAAGCAGTGTTGCCAAAGGCAGAAAAACATTAAATTCAAGCTTATGAGCTGAAACATAAAAGACCCAAGGGAAGAACTGTCAGTGCTCCTCCCTACCCAAGCAAGAGCACTGCGAAAAGACTTTTCTTGCACAGTCACCCGACAAGAGGCCATCTCCCGATGCAGCCACAATCTGCTCCGCCTTGTAATCTCAGGAACCTGTGAAGGACATGGATGTGGCATCAAGGCTTTGGCTGGCCAAATTCCCACCTGGCCTATGAAAATAACCCCTTTTCCTCCCTGACAGCCTGAGCTGATGTCTACCAGCCTTGGCTCCCTGACCTTACAGAATGGTGCTGAGCTGGAAAGTGATAAAGCCAATAAAACTACCAGAAAAAAACCACAAACCCAGTCACAGAGAAAAGGGTGAGCATGGAGAGGAAAAGCAATATATGCCCATGTCTCTGAGAGGTGGGTTTAGGAACAGCGCAAGGTGGCAAGCTTCAAGCCTGTAGCCTAGCACTGCTCATCAGCCCTGATGTTAATGAGTTACCATCTTGGATTTTATTCTGTTGATTTTTATTCTGTCACCTGAGCTGTGGAAAACGTGTGGCCTGGGCCCACAGAACACATCTCTTGCAATACTGTGGACTGAGACAATTTTTTCCTCCTCATGATTAATATTTCAGGGTCTGACAAAATATAGGGGCAGCATTTTTTGAGCTTGGTATCAGTTATCCAGGGAAAGGCTGCCTCAGGCACACACAGAGTATGTGCAGATAAGGTGGCTCAGATCAGCGTGTGATATACCTGTATGTGCTGTGTGCATTAGATGAGCTGAACATGGCACGGAGTATTTCTGCTCACTTTCACACAGCTGATATTTATCACAGCTCCTTTCAAATGCTTATCTCCATCCTTTGGAGTTCACTTATACCACGAATAAGGTGAACTCCCAGGTAGAACACAAGCCTAGAAGTGTCAGGGGAGGTTTCCATTCAGTAAAACCAGGACATCACCTGGTTTAGAGAGATACAGGATATACAGCTCAGCAAAATGTGTTTCTGTAGGATTCTTACATGTGCAAGTAGTACAGATACTCCCAGTAGGAGATGCATAAACAAAGGAAAACAGGAAACCTTTTTCATTATACATACACACATTATATATATATTTAGATTTTCTAAACGTATAAGCACAGACACACAAACCCCTGCCTTTAATAGTAAAGGTAGAGGAAAACAGCTTTCATTTTTCATTTTTCTGCTTCCTTCTCAGTAAGAGAAATGAAACCTACCAATTTAGACAGCTATGCTTGGTTTTCCTTACTAAACAATGAAGTGAATGATTTGACTAAGATTATGCAGCCAAGGGGCTATTCGCCTCTCTTAATCAGAAGAAATCACAGCTGGAATATAATGTATTTGTCCCCTTGTATTTTAGGGGCTGGAAAAACCCCCAAACCAACCAAACCAACAGGAAAGTGGGTTATCTATGAGAAAGAAAGAAGTTCTTAGGCATAAACACAAACAGCTTTGCAAGTAGGGGCTGGAAATAAGCATCTTCTTAAAAAAATTCACTGCAGCATACTGTAAAGGAAGCTCCTGCATTCATTCCATGAGGGAATAGGAAAGTGCACTCTCTGTACAAGGCTGCAGAAGACGGAAAGCTCTGTAAGCCCATCCCAACTCCCTTAATTATTTTAATTGCAGCAGTGTGATGCCAAGGTGCTGAATTACCCCCTCAGGCTCTGGCTGCTTAGCCAGGAGGTACTGAATTAAACTGTCAGAACATGCAAAAAAATTGCAATGGTGCCTGTCAACGGTATTTGTTAAGAGACACGGGTGAGGCTAGTGACTTGTATAGAAAAAGAGCTGCCAATGCAAAGTCGTCAAAGCACAGCACTGGAACTAATGGGGTATTCAGAGGTCTTGTTCTACTTCATTGGTTAAAGCCAACAAAACTCCTGTAATATTTGGGGCGGTTTGCTATTTATGGCTATGGTAATAAAGGCCAGTTAAAGCTGCAAAGCCAACCACAGTTAGTGGTCCCCACTGCTTTATTTCTGAATGGCTGAGGGGGCACTATTTCACGTCCAGTTCCGGTCTTAATAGAGACAAAAATTTATAGAAAGAATTGGGTATTTAAAATATGAAAAATTAAATGCAGAGAAGGGAATACTTTTACAATGTACTGTTCTAGTTAAAAATAACTACATTTTGGATGCCTTACCCAGATGATCTTGAATTCACTTATGTCTTAGCTGCACAGAATCAGCATACAGTTGACAATGTGGCCCAGGTTTAGCATCCTCTCTTCTTCACACATGGCACTTTCTTTCCAGAGACACTTACCAAAGCCAAAGGTATGTTTGATACCAAGATCTACTTTGTAACTTCTAAACCCACACAACTGCAGATAGAGATCAAAGTGATTTAAAGAAGTCCTATTTGCTGTGGCTCTACGTGGCTCTTTTTTAGCTATTTTTAGGAGTAAAAGCCTGGTTTGTGAAACCGAAAGGCAGATAACAATGGTTAGAGTTGTGTGGGCAGATGCCATGCAAATACCTCACAGGCCAACACGTATGCATTGGCTCCAATCTTTTCGGTCCTCTGTGAAGCTGGGTCTCTTGGGCAGATAAAGCCAGATGTTTTGGGATGGGTGCTAGCTTCTGCTGAGGGGCACAGACAGAGCTGTCACATAGGTGAAAAAGATGAAAGATTTATGCTTGCTAGACTGGTTAAAGGGCTAATACACTCATTAGTAGGTTTTTTAAAGACCTTGTGAACAAACAAACCTATCTTACTTCTTAACTCTTCCATTGTTGAGCTGAGCACAGCCCATCTAGAGACTGCAGAGTATGAACGGTACACAGAAAAGAATAATTTTGGTGCATGTGTATGGCTGCCAAGGACACCTTTTGGCATGGCAGGGAAGTGTAGATAAAGAAAATGAGCATTTTCTCATTTCCTGTGAATGCTTGTCCCTGTCAATAGCCACCCAGCCATCTCTCTGCCCAGCAGGAGCAGCATCCCAGTTTCCCACTCAGTCTACAGAGCTTTGAGAAGTGCTTCATATCTCACCTGGTTTCCCTACTGCAGTATCTCCCAGCTTTGTACCCTTATTGGGATAATTTCTTAACAGGTCTATATTGCCATAATTCTATATTCACTTAATGTGATTTTCACTAAGCATATAAATTCAAGAGAGGTTAATGATCCATTAGTGTATATTTTTAACTATCTCATTTACACGTTGAGTAGCCTGTATTTATTGTATTAAGACCATCTCACTATATTCAGCTGACTGAATTATGTGAGATATCACATGGATTACACAAGAATTGTTCAGTAATTAATATTTCCCAGACATGATATGTAGTTATTAAGTACATTTCTAAACAATTAAAACTGTGAAATGGCCTCTTAATGAAACCAAAACCTTTGCTGTTTGAAAGGCTTTACAACTGCAATGCTCTGAGAGCTTAAGGTTTTATTTCTGTAGTTCCTTTGGAATAAAACACATGCTGCTCCTGGTACATAACACAGTACATAAGACTGCAGGAATTACAGTTCAGGCCAGGTTACAAAAGCTGTTTCTAAGCTGTGTTTGTAACTAAATAGTGATGACCACGCGTTGGTGCACAATCATGAACTCATATTCCCTTCTTGCCACCTGGAACTTAATGGACAATCTTCATTAACTTTAATTAAAGATGTTGCTACTTTTCAGATGTGGATTACAATCCAAGTGTATTTTAAACAGCTCAACCCACGTATTTCCCCCAAGCATTACCCATGGCTCTGTTCCCCTGGTCCACAAATTTAACACACTATATCAGGCATGAAGAAGGGGAAGCAGAGTGATGGTTCCATAGCTCTAAAGACTCCACCTCTCCATCCCAGTAGGTTCACCACAGCTAATGATTATGCCACTTTGCTATTTTCCTGGCTTGCAGTTTGCTACAATACTGTGGCCTGTCACTAACTTGAATATCTGAAGAATATGAGATAAGAGAAACGTGAGGTATCAGAACTGCACCCTAACGCTTCATAGTTCCAATCATGCAAACATGTCTGGGAGAGTTTGATCACTCTCCATTTATCAGAGCACAAATCTGAATGGGATTTATTCTCTTGCATAGAGGACACATGAGCCAGTCGGCATCTACAAATAGCTAAATTGCTCAAATCTTTTAAAAGGTAAGCCATATGTGAATTACCTTGTACTTGGAAAATGCCTTCAAAGATTTTTAAACACTTCTGAGCAAGTTTGCAGGATTAGCACTGCTCCTTTCTTCTCGGGATAGTGGTGGCACATTGTAAAATGCCTCTTCCATGCTCCTTGCCAACATTAAAATCTCTTCACACTGCATTTTCGAATGTCATGTTCACAAGAACACAAGAGGATTTCTGGTTCTCAGTGGGATAGTGTTATGTTTTTCCAAATGCAAACAAAGGATATTAAAAAGCCCAGAGTGCTCATTATACCGCTGCAGCCCACCAGAAACAAAAGTATGGATTCAATTTTCCATCGCATAATGACTATATCGTGTACAGAACTGGATGAACTGATTTATTACTTAGGAATTGTATTAATTGCTGGGCTGTTCTGCCATTGGTTGCAGTGACACATGCAGAGAAAGACCACCTTTAGTGCTAGATACAAATAAGATCTGTCACAAAGGAATGCTGTCGTTACTTGATCGAATCTCCCATTTTGCTCAGCATTAGTGACACAGTATAACCAAAGACAAGCATCAAGAATTAAGATATTGTTCTGCAGGAGTAGAAGAAAAAATAGCATTAACATTTCTTGGAATTCAATTTGTCTGAAACTTTGTTTTCAGTGCCAAATGAGGTGCATTTTCTGTTGAGATTTGCTCTCCAGGGTAAAGAGAGCCTTGTCTCTGGTAGGATTAAAAATCAAAGAAGCCAAGTTGGATTAGTCACGTAATGATTAACAAAACAAACACCTTTTTTTTGCACTAAAGGCATGGAAATATGGAGTGAAGGAGACTTCCTTGACCATCAAGTCTCATACCTGTATTATTGCAGACACCACATCATATAATTCTTTTCATAAACATATCAATCTTATCATAATCTGAAGTAATTTCTACAATGATGTTTTCAGCATGATAGTATCAGTGATGTGGACAGAAAAAAACAGCAAAATTTCCTCGATGCAAATACTGTTTCATATGAAATTTGCAGTCGTACCACAGGATTTCTGGCAGAAAATGTCTGGTTTTTTTTTCTGAAACAATGTTTGAAGATTTACAAAGCCTAATTTTTCACAATGTCATATCATAGCATGCAAAACACTACAAATAACTGAAAAAGTAAGTAAACTCCCTCAAAGCTTTTTTCTACCAATATAACTTTATTCTGTTGATTTAAAAAAAAAAAAAAAGTTTTTCATTTAATGTAAACTATATTCTTACATATGACCTTATTGAGAGCCCCTGGTATTGCACTGAAGCACTCTTCCTCATTTAATGTGCTGCTTCTTAAACAAACTGAAGTTGAACAATCCTTGCCTGAAAATCAGATTAGCACTTTCCTAGAGGTAGTGTAGGTAATTTGCATGAGTGTGCAAATGCAATCAGAAGTAAAAGTTGAGTGCTGGGCATTTATATCCCAGGCTTGCCTGAATAAAGCAGTATTAAGCTTCTCACTAAGTCTGAGATTTGTAAAGATATTTAGATGCAGATAAGATGCTTAGAGGTGCATTCAAGAAAGCCTAGGACTTTTCTGTCCTGATGATTCATTCTAATATACATTCCATTTACATGTCAGCAGTGCAGTGCTGCAGTAGAAGCAACATGGAAAACAATAAAACACAAGAAAAAACAGTAACAGCAGAAATCTGGGTACAGTGAAAGCAACTGTGATGGTCTCAGTGGCTTTAATGCACTGACTTCCATCCAGTGTTTAATCCATACGTATTCCTCTCAAAAATCTGGAGATTTCTTTTGCTAAAAGCAGAAAGCAATGGGAGAACTATTATATTTAATGACATGCTACAGGACAGCTGTATTTAGAAGGAAGTCCCAGGCTGATTTTCCTTCCCTCAGTTCTGTTTTGCAGGATGGAACTATACCCTGGTGAAAAATGAATTTAAAATCAACTTGAGGAGAAGTTCTCTCTTTCTCCTGAACTTTGATTCAAATCTACTGTCTTCACATATTTTAGGCTGATTCGGCTAGACCGTGTCTCAGCACTAAAGCTACTTCTTGCATATTGCAGCTGTAGGGGAAAATACGTCTATGTATGAAGAAAAGTGATGGAGTGAATTAAACTCCAAACACATCCTCCAGCTAATTTTTTAATAGTCTGAGCACAAAACAGGGCCTTGAGGGTAGGCAAAGCTTTTCAGTAAACCAATCAGAACTGGATTTTATTTAAACGTCAGTAAAGTCAGTCCCAGAGAATTCAGACACTTGTATACAAAGCAGCCGTATCTCACTGCGAGTCTGTACAGTAGCTCAGCATCTCAATTTCAATCGCAGTTCATTCCCTGCTGGTAGTTTTTGTCTGCAAACAAGCTGAATGTGAGCTGACAAGGGCCCCCAGAGCAAATAATATGAGCACTGGAGGAAGAAACTCACCCGGACACGATGCTGACAGTTGTGCAGCCAATTCAGAAAAATTGCAAAACAAGAACTCCAGCAACCGTGTCCTCTGCTGTAGGAGCTGCATAGCACACTAGTAAGAAATAGAGAAAAACTGATTTAAAGAGTTTCACCTTCTGAAACACACCTTATGTTGGCAAAATAAGTATGTTCCATAGCATAAAGCAAGGCATCAGCTCTGTGAGGCCAGGGGATGCAGGCTATTTGGTGAGGTTTTCTAAGCAAAGTTTCTTCTGCATCCCTTTATCAAGGGACTGGGTTGATACTAAGATGTCTAGCCTGCAAACCCTGCCTGCTCTGTAGGCCTGCAATGGATCTGTAGAGGATGTTCCTATGAAGGCTTTATAAATCTGATTATTTTGTGGTCTTGCTGTGTGGCCTGGGAGTAGTAAAAGAGATGCATTTCTGGCCACAGCTTCTTGCAGGGATGCTGGTCACATCTGACTGAGGGATACCAGGATGTGCTGAATCTTTAGGCCTCCAATCTACATTTCCTTGCAAATGAGCATCCACCACAATCATGATGATACACCATATCATGTAATACAATCTGTGCCACCTTTTTGGAATATCAAGGATGAGCAGGTATCAAGCTAAATGACACATAGGAAATATGCTACTGCACATGGGAAAGATGCATTTGAGAGAGTAATTCTGACAACTGCACTGTGCTAATTACACTCCTGAGTTAAACACACCTCTGCATAGAGTTTTACAATGGGCATCCTTTAGTTTGTAAAAGACTTTCAGACAAAATGTGCTAAATAAATGGAAGACGCCACAATTACAACACAACTATCACTGTTATAACAGACTTACCTAAATTGCTCAATGTGGAGATGATAGAGACTGTTTATTTTGAATCTCCAGCTTTTCAACATCATTACCAGCTTTAAATAGATTTTTAATATGATAATATTCACTGGCAATGACATCTCTCCCTTACACGGAGAACATGGCATCTATTTGGAATACAACAGCTAGCTATTTATTGGGGGGGGGAGGAAGAACTCCTAGCGCTACATTTCCTTATTTAGAGAGGAGAAAAAGCTTTTTTTTCAGATAAATCCCCCAAAATAATTTGTGACCTTCAAGCCCATTTATCAGACTACTTCTCATTTAGAAGTTATTAGAATTTTAATCTAAGAAAAACAGCTTAGACAACAACCTGCTGTTTTAATTTCTTCTAAGAGGTCTGATTTTCAGAGTGTGGATAAACACAGAAAATAAGTGTTCTCACTAACAGGACATGTAACATATAGGCACTGTCCTTACAAAGACACCTTTTCTTCCTTCATGTCATTTTAAAGGCACTTCTGTAGCTTGCATAACTAACAGAGGAAAGGAATACAAGGCTTTTTTCTGCAGTTAGTTTATACCTGCCACAGGAGCTCAAAAATCAATGTAGAGAAGCTGCCTTTGGAGATGAGCTAATGTTCTCTTTACTTTTGCATCATTCAGCCAAACCAAAGTTTATAAAACAACAACTCCTCATGAGATTTCCAGTAACATTAATTGTTGGTCACAAAACTTCAAAGAAAAACAGATATTTATAGCTTAATTCATTTTTCTTTCTTTTTTTTTTTTTTTCCCACACACTTTTACCACAACACTTTCCAATTCGGTTCCCATGAGCACACTGAAAACAGAGTTATATCCGTTTCCTGCTGTGGCAACCTCCTTAACCACTTCACTCCTGGTGCTGCTTGCTCTCTTTTTTTCCAGTGTTCATGTCTTTTCATTGTTTTCCCCGGTGTGTCACATTTGCATTTTCCCACATCACTTTATCATTCATCTTTGCTCTATTCAGCCACCCGCACAACAATTAAAAACGTATGGGAAATGAACTATATATATGAAAAAACAGAGATATATACAAACACATGTATGTCTCTGTGTGTGTGTCTGTATATATATATATATATATATATAAACAAACTAAACTAGGAAAACTTTTCTTCAAAACAAAAGCCTACTTTTCAATAGCAAAACTACTCGCTAAATTTACCCATTTTTATAAACATAGAAGGGGGAGGTGGAAGTTTTTCAGATATATATATTAAATATTTCCCTATTCTACTGAAGAACTAATACTCATAAACACTTATTTTTAACAATTTAATCAGCATATTGATTAGGTTAAGGAATCCCTGTAAATCCCTATGAGCTGAAGTTAACAATGGCTTTTCAAATGCCATTAACCATCACCTTGCAGCTTTCTCTCTATTATGTACCATAAAGTTAATCATGTGCAAGACAGTTTTTCAAGAGAAAAATCTGCTATACAGTGCAATGATCACCTTGGTATTTTCCTAGAACAAAGAAAAGGTCTTTCATAATAGGAAAAAGTCTATGCCATCAAAGAGTGCTGGGCAAGATAAATCATGGGTTTCCTGCAAAATTTCTCAGGTTATCTTATTAAAGGCTAAATTCTCCAGACCTTTCTTTTAGCAGTAAAATCCCTGTGCCTGTTATCATGAAATCAGCCAAGGTTTGTGTTTTTGTAGCACATAAACTGTACTGGTTTGAAGGTAGATGCAACGGTTGAATGAATTGAGTCTTGCAGAGGGAAGGTGGAGCCTTTCCACACCTCTCTAAAGCAGCTACCTCAAAGGCAGATGGTCTTCAGGGACAGGATCAGAAAGGTTCTTATAGTATCAACATCTGGAAAACAGGTCACAGGATTTTATCTCTTGGCTCCACTGAGATGTGTGTGCCATGCTCAGGCAACAACCAAGCACAGAGTTCCTCCACTCAGCACTCATGGGGCTCCATATTAATTTCTCACGTAATAGGAAATGAGATACATGATATGTTATGCCACTGGCACATACAGGAGGAAGTTGCTTATGTAAATGAAAAGATACTTCCATAAATCATGCCATGTAAAGTCACTGACCATACTTTACACAGCGATAACTTCTAGAGGAGATCATTCATTAACAGAGTCAACTATTTCATCACATAGAATAGCAGTGGTGTCATAGTGAAAGAAATTCACGCTATCACAATTTTTTTTTCATTTGCTTATAAAAATCAATATTTACCTACCCCTATGGTAAATTAGATAAATTCATTTAACAAGGAAAAGTTACCATGTACCTAGCATGAAGCATGAACTTACTAAAGTACCATATGCTGCATATGATATTCAAGAGTTCAAGCCCTGCAAAGCATTTCACAGGGAAAGCACTCAGAAAAACATTTCAATTGATCTTTCTTTCCCCCCTCTATGTTCCTTTGGCAACTGATTTAAAACATAGGTGCCAAATTAGGGTTGCTCTAAGGTTTCTATTACTCTTTGGCACACTGAGGAGCCAGTGATTTAAGACAATATGAGATGTCCATTAGCTGTAACAATGAATTCAAATGCTTAGAAGCCAGGCTATAAATCTACCCTCTTGGAAAGATTAACCACTGTTTGCCTAAAGTTAGCAACTCCGTCTTTGACAATAAAATGCAATGATGATCCCCTGCTCTAGCTCACTCACCCCCACACTGAGAACAGCCCATGAGCTGCATCCTGCAGGAGTAGCAGCCAGGACAGGGGGGCATGGACAAAACGGTTGGGAAATGCAGCCTTTGGACCCCTGCAATCTTAGAGGATTAACTAAGTGCAGAGGCCAGGTGCCTCCTGAGTGTTCGCAAGTCTCTCTTGCACCCCTGGGGCCATCCTCTCAGGACACCTACCCAAAAACTTGTGGAGTCAGGAAGCCTCTGAAAAAAAATGATCATAGCAGAAAATCCCCAGTAAATTCCATCTCCCACCACCACAAAAAACATCCTTCAAGGCTTCTAGGACTCTGCAGATAGTCCTGAGGGAAAAGGCGCTTCTGCGTTACCCTGAAAGCAACCATTTATTAAGAGTTTCTAATCTGGCCTTGTACACATGGCTTGACTACTGCTTATGTCTTCCCACTCTGAGGCCAAATATAGCTTTTAATTGTGATTTTTGCTGAAGCCTTTATTGCATACATAAATTCTATACCACAGGTAATGGCAAGATGGAGCTGCTCTGTACCTATATAGTCAAGGATGTCTGAGGGTCAGCAGTGCAGGATGCTGGACATATGGCAAGTAGTGGTATACTGCTCACAGTTTATGAGCGGTGGATTGCCACTGCATGTGCTAGAGATGGCAGATAGGAAGTGAGACACAGGAATGGATAAATAGAAAATGATTTAACAAGAAAAGAATATTTTGTCCTCCTGAGGTGTTTAGATTGACAGTACGCCATTCATTCATCCACTGGACAGTTACATCATGGACAACAGCAAAACCTAGCAAGCAGCATGAATTTATTACCTCCATTCAAATTTTGCAGCAGGTTTTGGCAGGCTGCTAAAGCTGCTAATATAGCAGTTATTGTGTTGATGGCCATAAACTCATTTGTAATACCATAAAACAAAGTTGTATGATATCCACAAATCAATTGCTCTGTTTAGACATTATTTCTTACACAAACAAGTAGCTGTGGTCTTGGCTAAAAGATATGTCAAAACCAAAATGCAAAAAAATAATCAAGGACAAAAGCAAAGGATACAACTACTCTCAGTGGTGTTGTCTCATCCCCCCCTCCCTCTTTCCACAAATTTCTATTACCAATGTCATTGAAAGTAGGGTCAACAGGAGTGTTCAAAATGCAGTTCTGCTGGATGATGAGGCTGGTCTGTGGCTATTATTTGTTTCAAGAAATAGATGTTTGCAACAGCTGCAAATGCCAAGACAGACTAGAAAAAGAAACAGTAATGCTCAACCATGGAAAAAGAAGAAACCCACAGTACAAGGCCAAGAACACACAACCACTTCCTCTGAAAAGCTGCTACTCTCCTGTTTATGCTAGAGCTAATGTTTAGGGCATCCTTACCTCAATAGCCACGCTAACAGAAAATCTTTTAATGCTTCAGAGTAAAAGAGGGAAAAGATAATTTTGAGTAAAATCAGTTAATATTCTTCAGGAGACAGCACTGCTTGCAGTTCCAATGCTTAGTTTCTGAGTATTTGTTGGAGCATATAAATGCAGGCATTTCACCTCCTGATTTGCAAACATGAAGGAAAGATGGTGACAAAACC